TAGGAGTGTGATCTAAAGCACCCCTCCACTCAACACGTAGTACACTTGGCATAGCCAGCATCACGGTTTTGGCACGACAATCAAAAATAGCATAATGGGGTGACAACCAGTCCATGCCTAAGATAATATCAAAATTTACCATGATGAGCAACAATAAATCGGCTCTGGTCTCAAAACCACTAAGAGCAACCAAACATGATCGATAAACGCGGTCCACAACAAGAGAATCTCCCACAGGAGTAGAAACATAAACGGGGGAACTCAAAGAATCCTGAGATACACCCAAATGTGGAGCAAAATAAGAAGACACATACGAATAAGTGGAGCTTGGATCGAATAAAACTGATGCATCTTTGTGACAAACCAGTATAATAGCTGTGATGACAAAATCAGAGGCAACAACCTTGGTACGGGTAGGAAGGGCATACTATCGGGAATGGCCTCCCCCTCTAAGGCGACCCCTACCTTCCTGACCTCCACCTCTAGCTAGCTGAGTGGGTGGGGTAGTAGCTAGAGTTGTAACCATAGCCTGAGAACTCTGCAAGGCACGCTGTGGCTGAGAAGTCTGTGGCAGTGCACCCCTCCTAAGTCTAGGGCAATCCCTCACCATATGGCATGTGTTACCACACTCAAAATAAGCTCTGGGAGGACGTGGTGTCTATGACTGTCTAAGGCCAGGTTTTTTGGACTGACCACTGAAAGCACCCCGCGCAGGAGGCACACTAGATACTGGCGGTGCATAATAAGGCTCCTAAGGCCTAGGGGGAGGGGGAATACCACTGGCTGCAGGAAGAGCTGAATGAATGAGGCAACTCATATAACCCCTACCATGACGACCTGCAGCTGGGGCACGGGTACCAGAATAATGGCCCGACTCTCGAAATCTCTTGGCCTCCCTCTCCTCTCTTTCCCTAGCATGCATACCCTCTATCCTCCTAGCAATGCTCACCACCTACTGATAAGAAATATCCATCTCCAACTCATGATCCATGCTAGACCTGATGCTGGGAATAAACCCCTCAATAAACCGGCGAATCCTCTCGCGAATAGTAGAAACCAAGGCTGGGGCATGTCTAGCTAAGCTGGTGTAATGGACAACATATTTCGAGATAGTCATAGTACCCTTACGTAAATGCTCAAACTCTATGTGCCATGCGTCCTTGAGGCTCTAAGGAACAAACTCTCTCAGGAACATATCTGAAAACTCGGTCCAAGTCAATGAAGTTGCCTCATCCGGACTATCTAACTCATAGGTGTACCACCACTCATAGGCGGCCCCTCGAAGTTGGAAGGCAGTGAAAGAAACCCCACTCGATCTTGATATACCCATAGTGCGGAGGATATGGTGACACTTCTCCAGAAATCCCAAGGTATCATTTGATTTTTACCCACTGAATACACGAGGATAATACTTCTTGAACCTTTCCAGTCTCCGCTGCTCATCCTCTAAAGTCGTTATCCTGCCCTCGGGCTGACCTGGGACTATAGGCTGTACAGGAATAATCTTTGGGACCTGATCAACATGCACTCACTGCTTAGAAGTGCGGGCGGCGGGATTTTGTGCTCCTCCCCCAGCCTGAGATGTGGTTGCAGCAAGAGGAAACAATCCTACCTGAACCAAAGTGGTGTACATGCCCATGAACTCCGCAAGAGTCTCCTGAAGAGCTAGAGTAGTAGTAGCAATATGCATATCAGGTGCTTGGACTCCGTCTGGAACTGCTGGTGGTACCTCGGTGGCAGCTCGCGCGGGTGCTCTAGCTGCACCACGTGTGCATCCTCAGCCTCTGTCCCAGCCCCGGCCTTTGACGGTTGCAGTAGGGGGTGTGGGTGCATGATCATCTCGGGTAGCGCGTGTCCTCACCATCTATGAGAGAATAGAAGATAGAAGTTTAGAATTGTGACATCAAAATCTCGCACGAAAAGGAAATCAAATGAAGTGGAATTTTCCTAATAGTTACATAGCCTCTCGCAAATAAGTACAGACGTCTCCGTACCGATCCGTGAGACTCTAATAAACCGGCTTGTGATTCATGACTCCTATGAACCTAGAGCTCTGATAATGGCACATAGTCTCTACGACTAGGTAAGCCTAACAATGCGGAAAATAAACAAAAATTGCGCAAGAAATAATTAAAAAAAATGAAATAGTAAAATAAAATAGTGTTTAAGGTGCCGCTTGGCACATACAATAACAACTCTCGAAAACAAAAAAAAATTCCAAAACCTGGAATCTCATGAAACACAAGCTTTTGAATGTCTACAGTGTCTAACTCTAGAATATCTAACAGAATAAAGAAATACAGAACGGCTAATACTTAAAAAGAGAGTAGAAAGGGACTCTTCGGTCTGCGGATGTGGCAGATATACCTCGAAGTCTCTATAAACACCTCGTCTCAAGCGTGATAAGTTTGAGTGGAAGTACCTGGATCTGCACATGAAAAACATGCGCAGAAAGGGCATGAGTACACCACAGCAGTACTCAGTAAGTGTTAAGCTTAACCTCGATCGGGTAGTGACGAGGAAGGTCAGGGCCCTACTGAGGTTAAATAAAATATAAGGTTCAATAGTGTAGAACAAAATAGTATAAGTAAGTACAAGAGTAAAAGTAACACAGGATATAATGGACAACAACAACTACAGAGGCAAAGTAAACACAGAAAGAAATACAGCTCAGCACAAAGATAACAACTGGGGATCTCCCAGGATACTGTTCTGTAGTCCCAAATATAAATATCCAGTGGATATCCCGGGATACCGTCCCGTACTCCAATTCATAATGCGAGGGGATCTCCCAGAATACCGATCCGTAGCCCCAAAGTAAATACTCAGTACAAGGGGAATCTACCGGGTGCAGTCCCGTAGTTCCAATGTAAATGTGCAGGGGGGTCTCTCGGAATATCGTTCTGTAGTCCCAAAGTAAACATACAGGGGGATCTCCTAGGATACCATCCCGTAGTACCAAAGTAAACACACAGCAACAACAAGAATAGTACACAGTTCAATTAAAGTTCCATACCAAGGTAAAATAGGAATTTATAACCTAGCGTATTGCACGTAACCCAAATAAGGCAGTTTGAGCAAGTAAGGCAATTAGACATGCTTTCCTAAGCTAGCAACGGGCATAAATCGCAAGTAGTATAAACATGAAAAGAAACATACTAGTAATTACTTAATGAAAGCCGAATTTTCAACAGTTAGCATAAGTACGCACTCATCACCTCACATACAAGGCATTTCAATTATCAATAATACCAAATCCTAAGGGGAGTTTCCCCTACACAAGGTTAGGCAAGCCACTTACCTCGAACAGGCTCAAAATCAACCCGAAACCACGTTCTTGCCATGAGTACTCGACTCCAAATGACCCAAACCTATTCAATTCAATTGCATAATGTAAATAATACTTCAAGTAACTGATTCTACAAACAAATTCAAAGCTAATACGCAAAATTAGGTAAAATGAACAAAACGCCCCTCGGGCCCATATCTCGGAATCGGGTAACATTTACATTTTCAGAATCTTCATAATCTCACGAGTCTATACATATCAAGAACACTAAAATTGGAGTTCAATTGACCCTTCAAACACCCATTTTAAGGTCTCTTAATCTCAAGCCCTAATTACCCATTTTGCACTGATTTTTCCCTAATTTTTACCACTAATTAGACCTTTAAGCACATATAAACGAGTTATGAAGTCAATAATATTACCTCCAAGTGATTCCCCTTTGGTTTCCTCAAGAATCTCTCTCAAAAGCTTCAATCTCGTTCAAAAATGGTGGAAAAATGAAGAAGGGTCGCAGATTGGCTATTTAAATACTGCCCAGTTATTTCTTCTTCGCGAACGTAGAAGGACTCTCGCATTCGCGAAGTACAACTTTTCTTGGGTCCAGCTTCCTTCATCGCGAACGCGATTCCCAGGTCGCGAACGCGATGCAACATCTCCTCCAACTTTGCGAACGTGAAGCACTAAAACTCCCCCCAGCCCCAGCTCCTCTTCGCGAATGCGAGACCCTACTCGCGAACGCGAAGAAGGAAACCAGAACTAGGCTACTTTAATTTTTCTACAATTCCAACAAGTTCCAAAATGCCCCGTTGAGCATCCGAAACACACCCGAGGCCCCCTGGACTTCAACCAAACATGCCAACCAATCCTAAAACATCAATCAAACTTGTTCCAATTTTTGGAACGCTCAAAACAATATCAAAACACCAATTTTACATTGGATTCAAGCCTAAGAATCCCAAAAACTCTCAAATTATGCTTTCGATCAAAAAGTCTATCAAATTTTGTTTGAATGACCTAAAATTTTGCAAGAACGTCACATTCATCACTATAGAGCTACTCCAACTTCCGCAATCCCATTACGGCCCCGATATCAAAATCTCATTATCGAACCGGAAACTTAAAAAATTCAACTTTTAACATTTCAAGCCTAAATTAGCTACGGATCTCCAAACCGCAATCTGAACATGCCCCTAATCCCGAAATCACCCAACGGAGATAACGGTACCAATGGAATTCCATTCCGAGGTCGTCTTTACATTGCTCCGACTACGGTTCAATTTCTAAAACTTAAACTCTCATTTAGGGACTAAGTGTCCCAAAACTCTCCGAAACTCAATCAGACATCCCGGTAAATCAAAATAGCAAAAATAAACATGGGAAAAGATGTTAATAGGGAATCGGGGCATTAATTCTTAAAATGACCGGCCGGTTTGTTACACTATGACACATACTAATCTTGTGTTACTTCCAAAAAAGCCAAGGGTTCAGACTTTCTTATATTTGAGGCCCATAAGATTGAGAAGTTTCATCAATAAGGTGATGTCTAGAGTTATACTTGATAGACTAGAGAAGTTCTTTCCTTCTTTGATCCTCTAACCAGTCTGGCTTTGTGAAGGGAAGAAGCATTTTTGAAAACATACTCCTCACTCAGGAAAGTGTTACTGACATTAGGCTAAGGGGCAAACCTGCTAATGTAATGACTAAATTGGACATGGCTAAAGAAAACGACAGGGTGTCTTGGAAGTACTTGCTTCATATGTTAAGGAAGATGGGATTTGCTGAACATTTTATCATCATGATATGGAATTTGTTGTCAAATAACTGGTACTCCGTCGTGGTGAATGGGCAATATTCAGGTTTCGTTTATTGTACTAGAGGGGTGAAGAAAGGAGATCCATTATCTTCTGCATTATTCATACTGTCAGAAAAATTGTTGTCTAGATCATTGAACAAATTGTTTGATGCCAAATCTTTTAGGGGTTTTAAAATGACTAAGTGGACTGATCTATTGAATCATATTTCATATGCTGATGATACAGTTCTTTTTGCCTCAGCTTATGCGTACTCATTGAAGAAGATCATGGCAGTGTTATGTGGATATGAGAAGATTTCAGGCCAGCTCATCAAAAAGGAAAAGAGTTCCTATTATATGCACTCTAAGGTGGAAACTGCTTTGGTTCAAACAGTTGGTAATATCACTGGTTTTACTAAGGGTGAATTACCATTCATCTACATAAGGTGTCCAGTATTCAATATTAGGAGAAGGAAAGACTACTATGATGATGTTATAAAAAAGGTAAAGGCCAAGCTGCACTCATGGAAAGGAAAGTTGTTATCTTATGGAGGCAAGGCTACACTAATCAATAGTGCGCTTCAAAGCATGCCAGTGAACTTACTTTCAGTTTTGAATCCTCCTAAAAACATAATGGAACTATTGCATAAGTTATTTGCAAGATTCTTCTGGAGCAATAAAGAAGAAGGGAGGAATAGACATTAGTCCTCATGGCAAAAGCTTTGTCTCCCAAAGGAGGAAGGAGGGTTAAGCTTCAAATCCTTGTTTGATGTATCTAGGGAACTGTTTGCAAAGTTATGGTGGAGATTTAGGATTACAAAGTCATTGTGGTCAAATTTTATGCTAAACAAATATTGCAAGGAGGAGATACCAACAGTGGTACAAATTAGGCAAGGCTCTCATGTTTGGAGGTAAATGTTAAATGCTAGGCAAGATGTGGAGCATGAGATTTATGAAGAGTGGTACTACAAATGTTTGGCATGAAAACTGGACTGGATTAGGATCTTTATATCATGTAGTGCCACCTAATTTTCACATCAATGAGGACTTACAAGAAGTGGCAGACTTGAGGCAAGGAGATGGATGGAATGACCAGTTGATTGAACAATCCTTTCCTGAGGATATTGCAGAACATATTATACATCAGGCGCAGTTTGAAGGAACTGGAGGTTACTGGACAAGCCTTGGTGGAGACCTATAGCTTCATTCAAGTTCACAATCGATAGTGCATGGCAACAAGTGAGACATAGGGCAAACCCTACTCAAGAATTCAAGCATATGTGGATTAAAGATCTGCCCTTCAAGATTTCGTTCTTCCTTTGGAGGCTATAGAGATTCAAATTGGCTACTGATGACCCGTGGAAAAGGCAAGGGTATATATATGTCTAGGTGTTGGTGTTGTCAATCTCCACAAGAGGAAAGCTGTGATTACTTGTTCCTATCAGGTCATACTAGCCCTAGATTGTGGAAGACATTTATGAATGCAACAAGGATTAATGTTCAGCTCATACAGGGGCATCAAGTGATTAGGGCATGGTGGTATGTTTCATGTTGTCCAAAACTGAAACCATTATAACAATATGTGCCAGCAATTTTCACTTTGGAGTTGTGGAAGATGAGAAACATAAATAGAAATGGGGGATCAAAGTATGTTAACAGAGTGATTTATGAGATTAACAAGACTCTACACTTCTTAACTAAAGCTATATACTGTTGGTTACCTAATATTCCCTATCTTTGGCCGGATATGATTAAGTTTTTTGAGGATTACAAGCCAGTGATAGTGACTAGAAGGGTAACTTGGCAATTGCCTTATGATGGATGGTATAAGTGCAATACAGGTGCCTCAAGATGCAATCCGGGTCCTAGTCCATTAGGTTTCTGTGTGAGATAGTACAAGAGACTTGGTGTATGCAAGAGCATAATAACTGGATGACACAACCAATATTATAGTTGAAGCTAAGGCAATTGAAACCGGCTTAGCATATTGTGTGGCTCGGGATCTTCACACTCTCATCATGGAAGCTGATTCATTAGGGATGAAGAAGATAATTGAAGGTGATTGGGATCCACCACGGTGTATTGTGGCTGAAGTTAGTAGGATAAAGGAGATGAAGGAGGAGTTTAATGTGATATTCCAGCATGTGTTAAAGGAAGGCAACACTATGGCGGATTTTTAGCTAACTTTATATTGTCTTTTGCAGATACAATCACTTTCCAATCCTTTTCTGAACTACCTAGTTTAGGGAGGAGACTACTCAATATGGACAAGGCCCAAACCCCAAATCGTAGGGTATGGGTGGCAAAGATAAATGAACCTGATTGATGACTATGTTTGTATTTCTATTGCCTATTGTTGTTTGTTGTTATTTCTGTTGATATGTATTGGTAGGTGACTTTCTAGTGGTATTAGCATGTAATCTTGCTTATTTTGGTAGTCACCTGACACTGTATGGCTCTATTATAGCAAGCAAGTAGTCGATTGTCATTACTATAAGTTCACAAGGTGTTTATACTAATTAGTTATATACTGGCATGCATCATGTAGCTGTGAGGTTGTCGTTTTGGTTTAGTTTATGGTTACAGATTGCACCTTCTACAAGTTTGCATTATCTCTTGTGAGTAAGTGTCGATATACATGAAGTATTTCAACTACTGTGTGTTTGTATAGTATCTTGGTACTGTTCAATGGTATTAGTATGTTCTCATACTCAATCTGGAGGTGACACGGTACTGTATGAACGGGAAATGTTGATGTTGTTCCAGTCTTCGCCTGCTTGTATTATATACATGGATAGCAGGTTTATCTTTCCCTATGCTGCTGCACTGAACTAGAGTGTTACCATGATCAGCAAGGACTCCTATTTGATAGTTAATATCATGCTTGGATGTCATGGTGTGATCAAATGCTCCTACACAGTTTTGATGGATTTCTGTAGTATTGCTAAGAAGAAGTGTGTTTTTGGAGTCGCACATTTGCCTTCTCCTTTGGAATGCAAAACCTGAGGCTCGGTGAGAGTTTTAGAGGTTAAACTATGAGTTCTTTGCACTTGGCTTGTGGACTTAATCACATCAATGTCCTATGGCAGTCTACTTATGCAAACTATGTAATAGTTAGTTTATTTTCATTTGTTTTAGTTGCTGTTGTTTTTCCTAGTAGTAGGTTGCTCGTTTTAGTATTCTGTTGGACAAATTGTAAGACTTGGACCCATGTTTTGGGATTATATATATATATATA